CACACACACGTGTGTTTCACGACAATTCAGGTCTCTCCCTTTCCTTTGGCTCACAGGAGTTGCCCCACGGGAGAAGGGGACCCTGCAAGCTCCTTCGTCTGGCTGCTTTTGATGTAAAACTGTCGCGGCCTCGACAGGCAAGTCTGAGGGAACGCTTGGGTCTCACGAAGGGGGCAGGCCTAAAGCCTTAATTCTAAACAGAGCTTTTCTTATCTGAAACTCCTTTCCGGGCTTGTGGTTTTCGATTTGGGATTGCGAAGGCGCATGTCCGTGAGCCAACTAGTGAGCTTGTTTCAAGAGGACGAAGCGCATGCTGTGCGAGGTCTGCTTTAGGTTGGAGATCTGATCGCTAAGCCCAAACCCCCAAACCTTGCAGCTTCAAACCCTGAAGCCGTGAAGCCCTAAACTTAAACCCTAAACCCCAAAAGCTTACATGTCGAAAGCTTGTAGCCTGAAACCTCCACCGTGTCGTGCCACAGGGCACTCGACACCAGCCTTTGTGCAAAAACGGTGTATTCAGACTCGTCACGAACCCGGAATCCAAGCCTGATTCCGCGGCGCAGACTCTGCACAAGACTGCCCAAACGCTTCCAATGAGAAACCTTCACAAGAAAACCATGGCGTGTGTAGGGTTTGGGCTCTAGGGACTCTAGGGTTAGGTTTACAATTTACGTGTTTAGGACTTATGTAGAGGGGGTGCAGTATGACATTCGGGAGCCAACTAAGCGTGGAACCCACCCAGCTGCAGCCACGACAGGCGCCCCTTGCGAGTACCTGGAGCTGGTGGCTTAGGATTTGTGAAGAAAAGGAGTTGAGGTTAACATGCATTTTAGGGTCAAACAAACAGGATTCAGGAAATCAAACCAAAAACGGGTAATTTGAGCCTATGCTTAAATAAAAAGGATTCAAGATCCAAAAAAAATTAGGGGGTAGGGTTCAACTCGACCGGCACGTTGGGTTTGCAAAGGAGGGAGCAGTACCGGGACACTACGCCGGACTGCTCAAGCATTGAACTGCGTGTGCGGTGGAAACCTTTTCAAAGCCATGGAAAAGACCGCTACGATTCCGGAAAAGCAGTGCGCGACTTTTTCGTGCTAAGAGGAGAGTTGCAAAAGAAGCAATGATCACATGCTACGGTTACATTTACCATTACTAGGCTTCTGCAACCACTGCCACGCATTCTACGGCTGTTCCTTACCACCACCACTTGACCTAAACCTTTCAAATCCCTTCGAAAGAAGCCTTTGACAAAAAAAGAGCCCAACAGCATCAAGAAACCAAGCCTTCAAGAGCCCAAGGGCCTTTAAGGGCCCTAGGGCCCCCTGAAAACCCCCTGAAACCGCCGCTTTGAAGGCCCAATGGTCGCCTCGGGAGCTCCCGAGGCTCGCCGAGCTGCTGGCCGGCGCTGGCAGCTCGAGCCTCGCAAAGGGGCGGCTTTGGGCTTTGGCTTTGGGAGCCTGAGGGGGGGGTGGCGGGGGTTGTTTAAGGGGGCGGTAGGATCTTTGAGTTTTAGAGGGGGTTCTCTGAGGAGTTCGGTCATTTCTTCAAGGGTTTTGGGTCTGAGTTTAGAGCTTTAGGGCTGCTTTGTGCTACTGTAGGTGGAACTTCAGAGCCAAATCTCAGTAGGCTGATTAATTTGCCAGAATTCGAAGGCCAGAGCCTGAGCAACAAACCCGTACAAAACCCGGTAGATGCCATGAGCCCCAACAAAAGCTGCCAAAATGTCTCGGCACCCCTGCAGCTGCGTATGCCGCGCTTCGCTCTGCGTCATGCGTCGGAGGTCATTTTTGTTCTTTCTCAGCAGCTGCGCATCCTGCGGAGGATTTGGGATTCGGCTTTTTCGGGTTCCACGAACACAACATGAAACAAAGACCCAGACACCAAGACCCTGCCATGCTCAAAGTGCTCCTGGTCGCGCTGAGTGCTGATGAAACGTACCTGCGACGGCCCGCCGCGATGCTTCAGCCGGTAGTGTCTTTCGGGCAAAGGGCTTCGGAAATGGAGGGTGTGGGTTTGGAGTTTGTGAGGGGGCCTAATCCCCCGGTAGGCAAAAAAGTAGCAGAGTATAGGAGTTCTAAAGCGTTGTAAACTGTAAACCATGGTGTTATTCTATCTACTTTAGGATGAAGTCAGGGCTTGGGCCTGCGATGTAAACTTGAGAGATGAAACCCTAAACTCACCCGTAAGCTTCCGGAAACACTGGCCTTCGGCTTCGGGAATCACCCTAAACCCCAAACCCTAAACGTTAAACCCTACACCCTAAACCCTACACCCTAAAACTCTGAACTCCAAACCGAGCTGGAGGCCCCCGATCCCCGAGGCCACCTGCAGGCCAACAGCTGACAATCCTCAAAGCCCAGAAGCCCTAGCTCTGGGATGTCTGCGATTTAGGGTTTAGGGTTTGGGGACCCTAAACCGTAAACCCTAAACGCCACAATCGCAACAGTCAAGCCGTAGTAGTGATCGCAAGAGGTCGTGTTGGCAGTTGGGGCAGAAGCCCCCAAAACTGTAATTTACAAACCTCCTGGCCCAAAGCATGGAACCAACCGAAACTCTTCGAGTCAATAGCCATCAGGTGATACGCCATCAAAAAACAAGAAGCAACGCTAAAGCAAGGCAGGCCTGAACCCAGAAGCCCTAAACTATTTCTAGGATTCTTCATAAAGCCCATGAAGCCCCTGTGAAGCTTTATCGAACCTGCATAATACAGGGGTCTTAACAATTAGAATAGGGTCTTGGGGCATGTTAACTTATACTTATAATAAGGAACCCCCAAAATAGTATTGGTAATTATTTAGGCCCCTATATTTAAGAACTCCGCCCTGGAATCGCCTCCGTTTTTTTCAGCCTGTCTAAGCAAAGGTCGGCTACCTGTTCGCAGGCGTTGGCTGTCGGGTTCTGATAAAGGTTCTACAAGGTTTTCGCTGGGTGCTATAGAACTCCATAGTAGCGCTATGAGGAGTTTCACAGGCTTATTTAAGGTTCTGTAAGGGTGCGATGGTTGCTACGAACGTCTCTTAGGGTTCGATGGAAGTTTACAGGGGTTCTTGTGTTCGTTTAGTAACGCTTCCAGAGGCATTTGGAGCGACAAAGGCATGAACGCTGCGTGAGATGTACATGCCCGATACAAAGACATGCTCTTAGATCAACCCAGAAACTCTGGCTGCGCCGCTTCTTCTTGGACCTCTTGGCCTGTAGGCTGTCCCCTGGCTGAAAGCGTAGATACCGGCAAACACTTCGACATTGAGCTTCTATTGAGTCGCTCCATTTCCGGCTTGTAGGTTGGTTTCCGCTTTTTGGAGTCAGAATGTGCTCAAAGACTCTAAGACTCTTCAAATTCGAACCCCACATGAAAACCCTCAAAATCGTAAACCCGCAAATCCTTAAGCCCTAGCCCTTCCATGCGACTCACCGACCTGGGGGATGGAAGTGCAGTGCTCCAGGTCCTGGCCCGGGATGAAAGAGCTTCTGGTTGAGGGGTTGGTTAATATAGGGGCCTTGATCATTAGAATAGGGTTTTGGGGTATGTTTTGTTATACGATAATCATAACAAGGAACCCCCAAAATAGTATAGGTAAATATTAAGGCCCCTATATTACGCTGTTTTGGGCTGTTTTTTTGCGGGTTTGGGCTGAGAATGGGTGCTTAGTAGGGTCTGGGATTTAAGATTCGAGCTTTAGTGGTAGTCTTGTCTTATTGTTTTCTGCTGCTCTGACTCTGTCAGTTTGCTTAACAAACACGGTTGTTTTCAGCCTGTGTTCGAGCTGTCTCACGGGCTCTGTCGCACCTAAAGGTGCTTTCGGCGCAGGTTTGGCTTGTTTTGACATTGAACCCCCAAGTGGCGAACCATTGTGGACCACCCCAAAACAAGCCGAAGCATAGGTAAGCGTTTGAATACAGTCGCGTGTGGGCAAAATGGCAACAGCTTGCCCGAGCCACCATAAGCACTGTCGCGTATCTTTCAAGGTTTAGGCACCCATCCGCCAACTTTTCTGATTTTCGACCAGTTTTGGCTTTCGCTAGCGGGAACTTGCACATCGAGGTCTCTTGGAAGTTGAGGATGTAACCTTTGTGAGCTTTGTGATTCACGACAGTACTTCTGCCCGAGCCTTGTCGTCGACGACCTTCTTTGGGTGATTGATCGGATCAATGGAGCACTCCTGCCAGAGTCCACGTCGCAACAAGGCTGACCGGCAGGGCCTTTAGTTTGGAGCTTGCGGTCCTATGCAAGATCTCCAACCCCGCTTCGAATCCGGGATTTAACTGAACCCTAAGGCGACGTCGGACGAAACCTTTAAATTTAAATCCTTGACACGCAGCCTGCACCGCTGAACGTGAGACCCTGCAACTTCAACCTGAACTCGTTAGCTCGTTTCCTAGCACAGCCTTCCTCACAGTTTGGGGCGCTGGGCTGTTCTTGGGAAAAAACCCGAACACTGTTGAAGGCGTAGAACACAAGCCCCCCCCCCCCCATTGAGCAGGATTTCAGAGTTTGCAGGTGGAGTCTGCGTCCGGCTTCGCGTTCCTTTTCAGTGATCCTCGGTATCGTGGTTTGGTCGGAGCACCTCGGAAGTATACTGATACTGGCTAAAGTTCGGGGTGCAGGATGTGAGCCGCTGTCCCCAGAACTGGCTTGGCTAGGGATGTGTAGGATACTGCCAAGTTACAGCGTGGGTCCAACACCTTCGACCTGAGTTCCAAAAATCGACAAACCCTAAAGCCCAGAACCGAAAACCTGCGCTCCAAATGCTGCGTAAGGATCCCCCCATGAAACGCTCCATGTTTCTGCCTCGGCCCGACCCGAACTTGGGGCTCCCTAAACACCCGGTTTCGGGTTTAGGGCTCAGGATGAGGCCGCAGACTTCGAACTGTTCCGTCCCGCGGCTTTAAGGGCGAGGGCTCCAAACTTAGCGGAAAAGGATGGAGGCATCATCATACTGCTCAAAAGCCCTGAAACCCCAAATCCCTTTACAAGCCGTCCCCGTGAAAAACTCTTTTGCTGCGGGCCTGGAAGACCTTCAACCAGTTCTGGCAGAAGCGCTTGAACCTCTGGGCGCCGCAGTTTTGCTTTGGGGATGCCAGGTTGAATCGACTCAAGGCCAGGAGGCCCTTTTAAAGAACTCTCGCAGGGATTAGGGCTTTGAAGGTTTAGGTTAAACGGTTAGGGCTTGAGTCAGAGCGTTGGCAACTCTGGTCTCCAGGCCGAGCCTGGCAAGTACGGAGATTTTTTGAAGGCTCTAAAAAGGCCTGAAGTAAAGACCTGCAGACACCCTTTGTAACATGGCAGAGGGTTGCTCTGAATGCTCGGTCGCGCGTGGGGTCTTTACCGTATCGTGCTCGACGACTACGATTGTAACTAACTCCAAAATCTTGTGCGAGGTCACCATAAACCAGAAAGGACAGCTGCAAAACCCGAAGCCCTGGATAGACCAAGGCATCAGCTGTCGAAGAACCTGCTCGCCATCCTGCAGCCCAGAAAATGGGTGGCTCGTGTGAAAGGTTTCGAAGTGATGCCTCGACTTTCGGCTCTAGGGGTTGGCTTACCTGGGGTCAAAGGGGTCTCTGATTTTCTCCAGTTTTCGTGTGTGCTTCCGGAAACGATGCGCGGAACAGGCAGACGTTGGCGCAGCATCCGAGGAGTGTCCGAGTGTCCTTGCTGCTGGACGAGATCTTGTACTTGTCCCTGGCCAAGGCATTTAGTGCATCGGGCAGGAGGGTTTCAGAACCAGGCAGACCCGGAATCCCTCACCTTTTGCGACACTGCGCTCGACACAACCGGAGCACAACATTGATAATGATGATCGTGAGTGTTGCGAGAAACACTGCTAACAGACGAAAGAAGGGCAGAAGGTGGGGAATTACTCCGTAGACGTCCCGTGAAGACGGTCCCGTGAGAGAGGAGGCTCAAAACATGGTTGCTCTAAATTAATCCGTATGAAGACTTTCTGGTTCAGCTTTTGGCTTTAGAATCGAGGGTCTCTGGCAGGAATGTATACTATAACAAGCACCACCGCAAAGACATGTTAAAGCCAGCAGCAAGATGCCAGTAGCCTGCATGTCTCCAAAACTGCCTGTCGCCCTCACACACCAGAATGAGTGAACTCGCAAGATCAAGCCAATACAGATCCATAATAAAGCACGGCCGAATCCCTGAAAACCCGAATGTGAGCAAAACCTGGAGCAACCTGGCAACCCACGCGCCGAACCAGATAGCTCGGGTGGGGGCATACAGTTCAGATCGCATGTGCATCTGGTTGCCTCTAGCAAAAGCGCGGCCCTCCATTGAGACCCGCAAAAACCCTAGAACTCTCAAGTCCCAGAGCCGGAAAACCGAGACAGGGCAAACATCAAAGTCCAAAATCCTATCCCTGGACTCTGAACCCATCAATCAACTCAACCCCGAAACCCACAAACATCAACCTTCAGAAATCCCTCGCTCAACCCAACCCCCAAACTCGACAGCTAAACCTTGAAGCCCTGTGGTAAACCATTGAAACCCGCCATCGACTCAACCCTCGAGACGCAAAAGAACCCAAAGTTCAATGAGTAAAACCCTGAACTTCCGACCTCGAAGGAACCCTGATAAAGGATGAACGCCCCCTCCCCGCGCTTTACGCGCTCGAGGAAGCGCTGGAAGTCCCGACGCTTGGACTCGAAGGTGCGCTCGGCGAGCCCTGCAGAGGACCTGGGACTTTGCTTTTGGTGTTTGTTTGATGCTGGTTTTGCGTTCTTGTCGGTGGGAGCGGTGGTTGGGGCTCTTGGGGGGGCTTATTCAGGCATGGACCTGCAATCTCACAAAATAAATCTCCATTAACCTAAGGCACTTTCCTTTGTTGCTAAGGCCGTTGGGCACATTGAGAGCTTCCTGCGTAGGGGCTTGGGGTGTGAATGTTTGCGGTTCGAATTTCAAGGTTGCCGGTTACGAGTTTTGAAGCGCTGCCGGTTTCAGGTGCTAAAGCTTTCTAGGATTTAACGTCTCGGGATCAATATCATGGCTCTGACGTCTCATCTATCAGGATCAACACTTTGGTGGATCTAGGATTGAATGTAGCATTCACAGCAAGCCTCCTGGTGGAGTCGGGGGTCGCACTCGTAGTAGTAGCAGTAGTAGTGGTAGTGGTAGTGGTAGTGGTAGTAGTAGTAGTAGCAGTAGTAGTAGTAGTAGTAGTAGTAGGGAGTCCCCCCCTGGTGCGACGCCCAGACCTCTTATTTTTGGGCTTTTTTGTGG